TATTTTTTTCTTCACATTCTAGAGGGATTTTAAAGTTTAATATATCAATACTTGATGGAAAATACCTGTTCCATGTTATGTCTAAGATGTTTGATATTCAGACAGATAGTGAGGTTAAGCTCAACTGCCTATGTTATAGGGTAATAATATCATTCAGCTTCTTTTCTGGAGGGTTAACAACGTAAGTTTGCAGACCAAAAATTAGACAAAAAGAAGGGCTGGAAGGACCACCAACATTCTGGCCCTAGACGTTCAAGGTCAGTAGGACTCAGGATATAGGAGAACCTGTACTGTAACATCCTGTAACTCAGTTGTTTCCCAAATTTACTGATCAAGGAGATTATGGGGCCACAGAGGAATGTGATCGATGATATAGAGTGTGCTTAAGGAGAGTCACATGGAGAGAAAACATTCTCTCAGGCTTTCACAGAGAGCAAATTGGTCAAGCAATGAATGTGACTCAGCCACATGGCTGACACTGACAAAGGTTCTACAAACTTCAGTACAGGGTTTCAGGGTAAATCCTGAGGGGATTTGATTGACCTTGTCAGATACAAAAGTTACATTTCTTGTTATATAGGTCTTGCTTTATCTTGATCTTAGCCATCCAGCAGAAGTGTATAAAAACAAGGTATAAAAAGTGAAGCCATATTAATATGCTGAGCTGTGAAAGGCTCAAGTCAACAACTTCTAACATTGCCAGTCCTACAGATAACCCATTACTATTATGGACTACTCGACTATATTGGAATATTTTGCTGTATTTACGTGCCTACAATATTTAAATGGCAATGGAATACCCATCTCTGACAAAACTGAACAAAAAAAGGGGATATAAATGAATGACCATTTTATATCTGTATATTCAAATTAGGATAGTTATACAGCTACTTTCTCTTCACTGAATGAGAAGAAATATTTGTACTAATAGTGTTTGGACAGGATATCATGTCTGCATCTTGTACTATGAATGACCACTACGAAGACAACAACATGCAATGTATTAGTTATTTAAACTGTCTTACTAATTGGTTTTGAAACTGTCTCATTGCCATTTGTTTCTCAATAAAATTAATTTTAAAAAGGATAGAAAAAATCCTTGGTACTGCAAAATAAATAAATAAATAAATAAAGTAAATTTTTTGAATGATTTCTCTAAAAAAGTATTGCTTATAAGAGTGTAAAATGGTACAATTGCTTTAAAAAACTGACAGATCCTCTCATGATTTAACATAGAATTAACATGTTTTGATAGCACAACTTCTATATCTTGCAAGATATAGAAGAAATGACTGCAAGTGTCCTTGCAAGATTTTGTATGTGAATATTTATGGTACCATTGTTTATACAACAAAAAGTAGAAACAACTCATGTCTCTATGGGGTAATGAGTGGATACATCCAATGTGGTGTACCTATGCAGTGTAATAGTTCTTTGGCAACAAAAAGGAATTGAAATACTGACATGTGCTATGATATGGATGAATCTTTTTTTTTTTTTTTTTTTTTTTGCCAGCTCAGTCCACTCTGAGGGCAGAGCTGAACAGTACGTGGTGCTGGGGGTCAAACTGAGGTCCCATGTGCCTACCTAAGCTTGGCTAAGCGGGTGCTTTGAGCTATCTCACCAGCCCCCGATACAGATGAATCTTGAAAACGTTCTAAATGAATAAATCCAGTCACAAAAGATCACATTTTAAAATTCCATTTGAATGAAATACTGTGAATGGGATATTCAGACAGGAAGAAATAGAATAAAAGAAGCAGATAAATGATTGCCTATGGCCTGATATGTTGGTTGGGGACAAGGAAGCTGACTGCTGAAGGGTGCAGGGTTTTGAAAATGCTTTATAATTTGTTGTGATCATCACATAACTGTATATACTAAAAACCACTCAATTATGTTTGTCCTTTCAAGTTGTAAGTTACGTGGTTTTTTAATTATATCTCAATGAAGATGTTACAAATCAAAGAAACCAGCCCTTATCATTATTTAAAATTCATCTTGATTTTAGCTTCCCAGATGGAGTTTATTGATTTGAGCCATGCAAGACCATCAGGAAAATATATATAGACTGTTAGGATTTTGTTAATTATAACTTTCTTTTTTTATGTATTTAGTACAGGGTCTACAGGGTCTCACTATGTAAATTGGACTTGTAGTGACTCTCCTGTTTTCAGCCTCCTAAGTGCTGGGATTACAGCCATGTGCCACTATACCCAGTCTCAATGCATCCCAGGGGCAGAGCCAGTACCAGCATGGCATGCTGGGGATCAAATCCCCAGCCCTTGCATTTGCCTAAGCAGGCACTTTAGTCTGTTGAGCTATCTGGCCAGCCCTTAATTATAACTTTGAAATGACTTATGTCAACAGGAAAATGATATCTTAGCTGATGTCTACCTGATCTTATAGGAAAAAGAATCATTTAGGTCATGTTCTTTGTATCTTATATATCACTGTTTTCTTTTGTCCATTTTTGTTTCAGATACTTTAGAGTTCATTAAGTGCTATACATATGCAAGTATTGTATCTTCTTAGACTCTATTCCTCTTGTTGTGTAACAACCCTGTTTGTCTCTAATTATATAACTTGCCTTGTAGTCTTGTTTGTCAGCTACCAATAGTGCTGGTACCAACTTTCTTTTACTTAAGGTGGGCATTTCATGTTTTCTTTAGGCTTTTACTTTCAACTTGCCTGTATTTTGTACTTAAAGTTCTTGTAACCAACATAGTTGGGTCCTTGACGGCTTGTCCAATTCAATGTAGTGTTGAACATTTACGTTTAGAATAATTCTGTGCTAGGTCTAAACCTGCTATTATGTTATCTGTTATCTAATTATGTGATAATCCCATTGGGTTGATGTGGAGTTGGCATTGTTCTTAAACTCTGCCCTTGGCTCTTTAGAAGGCCTCTCTCTACCCTGTGACTCCTTGACTTTTCATTTGGATAAGGCTGGTTGCCTCTCAGAGGCATCTGTTTCAGCTCTTTGTCCAGCTGTCAGCCTTAGTGGAGTGCTGCTTTGTTTTCAGCACACCCTATGGGTCCTTCTCCAGGACCTGTTCTGTCCTTAGTTTTTGTTGTGTCTCAGCTGTACACTCAGAGGGAGCTCTGTGGGAGAGAACTGGCAAGTGACTAGGAAGTTGCTCTTTGATCAGGAGCTCCTCAGATTCTAACTCAGTAGTTACTCAAATTGAAAACTTTAGTAAGTTTCATCACACTCTCTTTTTCTAGCAAGATTTTTTTACTGTTCCTGTCAGAGATGAAAGTAGCTGTGCACCTGTCTTTTGGGAAGAGATCATTCGTATGTGCTATTTTGTACATTTACACCTTAGCTTGGAGGTTTTTGTGACTATGACCTCTATGTTTTTGTGACTTATCTCACTTCTCATTTAGAGGCTGTGGTTATTTTAAAGCTTATATTTTTTAAATTATATGCCAGTGGAAATATCTACAATTAATGTTTATTGCTTAGTGACTTAAGGACTGACAGTCTTCTAGGGCTGAATACTTTAGAAACCTGTAATAGGTAGTGAGTACACATTAATGATGACATTAACTTTGGGGTCATACTGATCTGGCCATATGTTAATACCATAGTCACTCTTGTGACTAGAAATACACATTTAGAAAATAATGGACTAGAGCTGAACTATGGTTAATTGACAAGGAAAAGAAAAGAAGTATAGAGACTATATGCAGCTCTGTTCCATCAGCATTTATGAGTTTCAAAGGGATGCAAAAGTCTTCATGATGAATATGGCATGTGTGAGTCACTATGCAACTGTATGTGATGATTTGCTCAGTCTTTCGATAATTTAGCTTATTTTCTACATTTCTCAGTAATGTTGTAAAAAGACTTTATGCCCTCCTTATATTTCTGTGTAGTGTTAAAATGTTTAATTTAAAAGGAATATAAACATTGAACAGAGCCAAGTGGATCTAATTTCCCAGCAAAGGATAGTTTTCTGTTTGGTCCCCTTTTGCGATCAGTGTGTGGCACAGCAGTGAACTGGGGAGTGACGGGACAGTGGTATAACAAATCTGCGAATCAAACTTCCCAGTGCAGTCCAGTTGACACATGGCTGTGTCCCGTCCCTAGACCTCCCTGATGCTCCCAAGCGGATTTAGTTGGCTGCCCAGCTGTGTCTTGTCTTTATAATGTAATGTTGGCTCTTTTTCCCAATGGTGCTACAAAGCTAACTTTCTCCCATTATTTATAGTCAAACTACAACTTCAAGCAGAAGACAGAGGAGTTGTCTCTATCAAGGGAGTGTGTGCAAACCGTTACCTAGCTATGAAGGAAGATGGAAGACTACTGGCTTCTGTGAGTAATGCTCTCTGATTTTACAACTATTTTTGTTTTTGTTGGTAGCTGTTCTTTTGCTATTGATTTGCTAGTATTGGCATTATTAAATCTATAAGGGTTTTCCATCAATTAATATTCATATTCATCCTTATCAAAATAGAGAGGATTCTCTTTATTTCACAGATGCAAAATACTGAAGTTCTGAGGAATAACCAAGAAAACATAGAACGTGTCAAATGAAGTCTGAACTGGGCCTGGCCATCTTGATTAAGAGCATGAGCATCAAGATCGCTGCATTTTACTCTGCAAAACTATTAAAATATAATTTTATAAATTTTCCATATGTTGTGCAGTGGTGGAATGAACAGCAGGGATGGATATATTAAAGCATAAGTTATCCATAAGTTTCCTCTTTAGAATATGAGCTAGAAAAGACTTGAAGAATAGAATGTGAGCATCAAACCTAGATACAAGTGCTGGGTTTGCCAATTAGTAGTTGTGCATTCTTGGGAAAATTAGTTTTAGCTATTTCCCTTATCTGAACAGGAGAAGCAATGGGGTTTTGTAAAGTTTTAATTAGATATTATATGTCAGTTTATGTTGCTTCTAATTTATATAATTAGAGACAGGGACTCATTTTTTTAGTAATATTATCACATGTGCTTAGGGATCTTAGATCTGGCTAGCATTCTTTGTACTAGTGCAGGCTCCCTGGCAACTTTATTACCAGAAGCAGGATTTTGTATCAGTTGAGCATGCCGTGTGCAAAGAGTGGTACAGCGAAATACTGAGGCAGCAAAGATACAGGTCTCATTTCTTTCTCCTAGGGGAGTAGATAAGGTGTGTGTGTGTGTGTGTGTGTGTGTGTGTGTGTATGTGTGTGTGTGTTTGTGTGTATCTACAATGCCATTGGCTACTTATACACTCTCCATAACCTTTCCCAAAGAAGGGATATGAGAGTAGTAAGTAATTATGAAATTTTGAGTTGTACACACAATTTTTGGAAGATTCAGAAAATGTAGATCTTTAGATTTCTGAAAATGCCTAAGCAGAAAAAATAGATACTTCAGCCATTCTTATTTCAGATTGATTATTAACAAATATACACTACGTTCATGTTACCAATTTGTGTGATTTTTTTTAAGGATAAGTAAGTCTGATTTACAATTTTTATTTTAATAGTTTAATAGATCTTAAAATTCCCTTTAAGAATAGTTAATATTTACTGAGTACACAATATGCCAGATGGCTATGTTAGACATCAGGCTTTTGAAACTGATGGGCACAGGGTTTCTAGTTTTAATGAGTCATAATCCAGGGTAGGTAGTATTTATTCATTTATTTATTTTGGTACTGGGGGTCAAACTCATGACCTAGCTCTTTCCAGGCAGACACTTACACCACTGAGCTATTTCCCAGCCATAAGTAGGTATTTCTGATAATGTATACAGGATTTCTTGGGTTGTTGCTATATTTTCTACATACACATAGTATAGGAAATGTGTGAAAGTGTTATGCACAGGAGCTGATAAATGAAAGGACGTGCTTAACTAGAATTGAGGATTTTATATGAAGAGGAAGGAATTCAGCAAGCATTCTGAGGTATGGAGGGAAGCTACTTGGTTATCTGTAGAATTACAAGTAATTGACTTAATACTAGAGTGTAAAGTGCAAAAGATAAAGAAGATGAAAAGACAAAGATGGCTGGAGAGTTCATGTATTGCCTATTGTGAGGTTTTATCCATAATTCTTACTCCAACCAGTGGAGAGCTTTGGAGAGTTTTAAGATGAGTCCGATGAGGTTTGAATGTGAGAAAGAGCACTTTGGCAACTGTGTAGAGAATGGGTTGAGGAAGCCAAGACTGTAGAGACGGACCAGCTGGAAGACCACTGCTAAAGTTCAGGTGACAATGAGAACCTGGCAATAGTAGCAGGGAACAGGGAGCCAAATTTGTGCTGGCATTCATGACTGATTAGACTTTGAGAGTACAGGGAAGAATAAAAGATGATTTCCAGATTTCTGATTTGGACAAGAAGGTGGTTGAGAAAGGGGAAGAAAGAAAAAGAACAGGAGGGGCTGGGGAGATGGCTCAGGGGTATAAGCGCTTCCCTGGCAAGCGCAAGGGCCTGAGTTCAATCCCCGGTTCCGCAAAAAATTAAAAAAAAAGAAAAAGAACAGGTTTTGGGAAAATGTAACAAGTTTAAATTTAGACTTACTTAGATTGAATTGCCAGAAGGAAATTCAGGAGGTGTTCACTAAAGTAGTTGGAATTGTAAATATGGAGATTAGAGGCGAGGCCTGCTATAGTGATATATGTTGTCATTGGTAGTCAGAAGAATGGATAAGTTTTCTAGCTAAAAATCAGCTTTAAGATGTTGACTCTTGGATCTTTCACTTCTACTCTGTCATTTTGGTTTCTACCAATCTATTATCAGCTCACAAGATGATACAGTCATTTGTGAATCTTGCCAAAGTAACATTTTAAATACTTGGAAATAGTAGATTTTGAATGACCTTGATACTGTAGTAAAATAAGAAAGGGTTTCCATCTTCCATCTCTCTGCCTCAGGAGGTGACCAATCAATCACTCCGTCTTCTGCAATGGAAGACGACGATTTTCAGACAGTGAGGATGGGCGAGAAAGGACAGAACATGTGTAAAACATTTTCTTCTGTAATAACCAACTATGGGCATCACTTAGTCAAATGGTTGTTTTTTTTTTTTTTTTTTTTCTTTTTTAAAAATGTATTTAGAATAGGGTCTATAGGGTCTCACTATGTAGATTGGACTTGTAGTGATCCTCCTGTTTTCAGCCTCCCAAGCGCTGGGATTACAGGCATGCGGCACCACACCCAGTCTCATTCACTGTCTCAGCACACCTGGGGGGTGGGGCCAGCACTGCACACTGGGGATGAACGCTGGCTGTTGTGCTCTGCCTAAGCAGGCACTTTAGTCTGCTGAGCTATCTGGCTGGCCCTCAGTACTTGGTCAAATGGTCCTAAAACTCCAAGCTTTCTTGTGTCTGTCTTAAACTGCCCCATGAATGTTTTGAGGTGAATTATTACCCGGGGGTTTGTAGGAATTGAAATAAGATCCAGTGACCTAGTCATCTTCTCAAGTATATAGGCTGGAATAATGCTACATCTTGAGAAGGATTTTTTTTTTTTTTTTTTTTTTTTTTGCTGGCTCAGGCTGCCTTAAGGACAGGTCTGGTAAGTCATGGGGAGCTGGGGATTGAGCCATGGTCCCCTGCGCCTGACTGAGTTTTGCCCCAGCAAGTGCTTAAACAACTGAGCTAACCCACAAGCCCCCCAATAATGTTACATCTTACAGTGATTTTATAGTGGCATAGCCCCTCCAGTGTTAAGACTGATAGAAACAGAAGCTAGTCTACCTTATGATGGCTATCTGAATGATATGGTTGGTATAAGAGAAGAAATAAATAAAAGGACAGTAGGCCTGGAATTTGAACTGTCATTTAATTCTCACAAAATTTTCTACCATTTAGAATTTTAAAAATTCTGCCCTTTTCTTTTGGCAAACGCCATTGGATCTGTAGAGTGCCTACAGTAAGCAGCATTTTATGGCTTCTTCCTTAATTAAGAAGGAACAATTACAAGATTAAGGCTGTAGCACTTTGTGTAGTCTTACACGTGTCTCTCCTTAGATGTGTATTAACTTTTCCAAATATAACAGCTTTCCATGGTTGATACAGTGAGTTAATTTAGCAATGGTTGGAAATTGTTAATTTACCGTAAGTTCTGTAAGGTCGAAGGCATAGCTTTTATGCATAAATTGGTGTAATTCAGGATTTAGCAGTCTCTTTTGAGGAATGGCATCAGCCAAGATCCAGTTCTTGTAACTACTAATGTATGTGCCAGCTCCCCTCGTAGGGCCTGTTCCTACCAAGTTCACAAGTTAATCTCTGGACTTAACCATCCGTTTTGGGTGGCTGGCTGCCATGCACTTTCAGCAGCATTCCATCCCCTTCCAATTGGTCCAGTTGGGCTGTCAGTATTAGGATGAAAAAGTAAGTACCCCATTTTAAAGCCAAAGAGGAGCTGTTACTATTTCAATAAGTGTCATATTTCTGTCTGAATCAGATCTATAAACATTGAGTTGTTAGCAATAAATGACTTTTGGTATAAGTCCAGCATTCTGATTAGTAGCTATGATTTGTGGATGAAAATGTACCTCAGAATCTAGAAAAAAATGGGATTTGTGAACGTCCATGTGTCTAAGGCAGAATCCTTCCCACTCTTTTGCCTGACCTTTTTTCAGAATGCTGTTATAGCACCTCTCTGAGTTCTTCTTCATCTTACTCTAGTTGTGATTCCTGCAGTGATTTTAAAACATTCTAGTTTATCTAAGAAGAGTAACTCATGATTTCTGAGAGATATGTTAGGTTAATTATTGCCAGTTGAGAGTTTGAGGAAAGACTAACGTGTGTCCCCTTTTTCCCTACATGTGAGTGATCTGAATGCATCCAGGTTAAGGATTGCTCACTATTTGAAAACATTTCCTATGGGTCTTTATCCTCCCTTGAAACCAGGGAAATATGAAAGTTCAAACAGTATCTATATTTAACTGCCAAAACCTATATTTAGAGGTTGAAGTTGAGCAATTCTTTAATATAAAACAGATTAGTTACTTTTATAGTCGGATTAAATTTTGTTGCTATGAGCAACAGAAGCCCAGAACAAATATTAGGATCCATAATTTCCTATGCCTGTTCTCAAAAATGTAGATTTTAAAGAAGAAATTGCATATAATAAGATTAATTTTAGCTTTAAGTTTAAATCACCAAACAACCTCAGTGTTTGCATTTGTATAAAAATATTTGATTAGTGTTAATCTACTGAAAGTTGTAGATTATTTTTATATATGCTAAATAGATCATGAACAAAATATCTCAGTTATACATGAGAGTGTAACTTATGTGGTCCATAGTAGTGAAGTAGAGACTGTAAATAACCTCAGAGGGGCTAGGGATATAGCTCAGTGGGAGAGTCCTTGG